TTTTTCTCTCTCTCTCTCTCTCTCTCTTACTTGATCAAATAATCTCAAAATCTGTCAAACTTACATTCACTCTCTCACAATCACCTATATTCATTCTCTTACTCTCGTCCTTAATATGATCTTCAATATTTCACTTTAAAACTCTTTTTATCTCTTTTTGGTTGCAAAATTTTCACCAGATTTTGGTAAATCTTCTAAACACTTTGACATAGTATTAATAAATGTTTTCATAATCTATCTCACATATATTCAGTCTCTCTAATTCTGATTGGCCCTTCTGGATAGGTAAGATCTTGTCTCAACTCTGGAATCCTCTATGGCTTGATCGGATTTGGGTCATGAATATGCTTCCTACACATAGACACATGGAACACTGGGTAAAGGTTCATGTCTTCTGGTAGTTCTAACCTGTATGCTACCTCTCTGACTTTTGCTACCGGTAATCCGGTAATCAAATCCATTGATACTGTGTTTGAGATGTTTAATATAAAATCACAATTGAATAACCAAATCTCCCTCTCTTTCTTCCTTTCTTACATATTGCTTTATTTAGAATTTAATATAAAATTACAATTGACTAACCAAATAAATTCATTATCATATTCTCTCCAATCTTCACATTATCTTATCAAACATTGATTCCTTTGACCAAGATTTTCATTGAAAACATAAATATCTTATTATTAATTTTGTTTTTTTAATTACTTCATTACATACATATTTTAAGTAAATCTAAAAAATTGTATTTCAAAAAAGTAAATTTGATTAAATAATTATATAATATAAAATATCTTAACTCTTAAATGATGTAATGTCATTATTTCAGACATAGATTAATATAAACATGAGATTCAACAGTTTTAATATATCAAAATAACATGTTTCTAATTGTATAAATTTTGTTATAACTTTGTTATCATATATTTTAAAAGTTTATTACACCGCAAAAAATACTTATCATTATTTTAAAATAATTTATTTTACATTTAATTTGCGTTATATTTTGCATCTTCAACATTAACAATTTTATAACTTATCATTTATATTTATCTTCATTGCTCAATTTTTCTTTATGTTGTATAAACACCTAAAATAATTAGTTTACAATTAGATTAATACGTAAAAAATATTTTGGTATACAAATAAAAAATTATGTATGTACAAATACAAAATAACGAAGAATACAACAAAAGGTTTTATTATTATTCACTCATGTTTTTATTTATGTCTCTTTTCTTTTTTTTTTCTTATTAAAAATAAACATGCCAAATTTATTATACTTAAAGCTATATGAATTATATGAAAAGAATATTAACTCTAATCTTGTATTAATATAATGTTTTGATTTTTTTGTAATTTTATATTATAATACACTTTTTCATTTATCATATTTTTTAAATGACATACCATATAATTTTCTGTTTTAAATATAAAAATACTTAAATAATTTTTGAAAGTGAGAACTCAACTATACTATCGACATTTATCTCTGGAAAAATGATAGATTTTTTTTTAAAAAATTACATTTGACTGTTTTGCATTCATTGAACATATTTTAAGAATACATATATATAGTGAGTGAGTATAAAAATATTATTAGTTTTCTGTAATGTATGATTTTTTATCCACTATTAATAGAAAAAAATTTAAAATCGTTTATATACTTATTTCTATAATATAATATGTATTTATATGTATATTCTAAAATTTTATAATGGAATATGTGATATGTAATTGTTTCTATAAACAAATTCTATTAATCATATGGATATAATATGATTAATTGTTTGTTTGGTAATATATATTAGATTAGGTAATTCTAGGATTAGTTTCCTTTTAAAAAACTTTAGTTAAATAAATAAAAATTTAAATGCCAACAATCAATCAAATTAAGAGAATTAATTCTACATTGCACCTATGAATGACACGTGTGACTTTTTTTTTAATATATAGGGGATATCTTTATAGCTCATTTCTGTTTTTATTTTCTATTGTTTTTGAGGGCATATGAAGATCAATATATGCCACAAAACCACTGATGCATTTGTTGGAAGAGTGATATATCAATGAAACGGCGCAGGAAGAAATAGAATGTTTCTGCAAAACCATAATTGACAAGTCTGATAATTATTGTCTCGTTATATCATAGATGGGTTATCAAAACCTGGAGAAAGTAGTTTTAAATTGTTTACCATGGTTCTTGCAGATATTTTACTAAAAGACACTAGAGACATGTTCTCTATCATTCATCTAATGTGACCTTTTTGGCTTCTTCTCTTACATACTTCACAGTTCACACGCTTTCTACTGATTTTTTTTTCTTTAATATCCACTCTCTGATATCTGCTAGATAAAAACTAAACCATTTAAAAAACTAAGACAATTCAACTCACCAAAACAACAAGCAAACAAGAAACTAAACCAGACAAAACGAATCCCGATGATTCAGTTCAATGTATATGTTCCATCTTCTTTTACTTTGTGGGTTTTGTTCTCTGGTAATGACAAATTCATTGTTCTACCACAACACATCAGAATCTAAAACGTTTTTTACATACATTATATATGTTTACTCGTGTGATGTGGAGATTTAAGGAAAGAACCAGACTTTGATGAAGATAGACAGAACCATTTGAAGACCAAACGCTACAGCCACTACAACCGTCAGATCATTACTCGCTTCTAGGTAAGTCCGTAGATTCATGGCAACAAAGGAGGATGACGCGCCACCAGCTAAGAGTATAATCACCCATCTCAGAAACTCCACTGGAATAAGCAATGGAAGCTGCAAAAGTATGATCATGACTGTTAATATATAAAAACCATTTGTGAATCAGACAGAATTGCTGCTGATACAGGTGACACTTACAGTGGTTGGCACAAAAACAAAGAGAGAGTATCCCCACAGACACCAGAATCTTAGAAGATCAGCTCTGGAACCCATATACCGAAGTGAGAAGTAAAACGCCACTGGCACGATTATCGCATAGCCATAGATCAAAGATGCTGCCAAGTTTATATAGTTCACATCAAAGACCCAAGGTGCTTCACTGTCGGTTCGTTTCTTCACGAGGTACGTGGCACAGTTTCCGAGAGAGGAAAGCACAAACACAAGTGTGGTGCAGATCCAGACAAGGCCATACCTAATAGAGAGAATGAAATCCACACACGAGAGTCATTTATCTGGAAGTTCAAGACCAACCTTTTAGCCACTTTTAAAAGGTTTTGTTAATTGAATATATGCACTTGTCTTGATGCTCTCCACTCAGAGCATAGGCAGAGTTTTTATCTCTGGCTTGAAGTAACATAGGAGGAAATGCATAGTATAAATTTTCAAAGCTAATCTATTACTTCAAAGCTTAATAATAATGTGAGGAACTGTTTTAACAAGCGACTGCCAACCAATAGCATATGGAAAACTGGATCTGGGTGTAGAGTCTACAGTACATAAGCTCAAACGGAATATTCAAGCAGCAAAGGTAAAATTACTACACAAACCTATGACATACCAAATTTACTACTGTGAAATTTAATGTGATAAGGGAAAAACATCACTTAATATGGCAAGAAATCAATGGCCTGAATGAGCATTGAGCAGTGGAGTGATTTAAAGAAATCTCCATGCCAAATAATTCTATATCAGAGCAAGGACAATCACAGGAGAAAGGGTATTGAAAGACTTACAAATCAGGGTTTGCATCAATCTTGCTGAAAAAATCTCCACTGGTGGGGTACAAGGAACTCATCAATCTGTTCAAAACAATGTCTGTGTCCACGTTGAAGTACTGGGTGTATGAGTAGACGTTAAAGAATCCCTTCCAGTTGTTTGGTGGCTGTTGTTCAGGTCCTTCTACATGTATATATGAAAACAAATTAGCATACACTGGTACAAGACAGAACACAGTTTATATGATGCATATAATGATGAACAATTACACATGATTTCGAATACATAACAAAGCTCTTATCACACTTAGTCGATTCATGGTGCCTACTGATACACACATCCTTAATAAGAAAAAAAAAAGCAAAAGGAGGATATATATAAACATTACCAGTTGGGGTGTCAAGAGTTTGATAACCCTTTGCTGCATTGTTTCCTTGATGCGGTGGAAATATCTGCATGTTAGCAGAAGGGCCTGCAGAGCAATCAAAACTCTTTCTTACAATACTGAAAAAGCTAGTTTTCTAGCAAAAGAACATACCTTCATTTACACTTGCTATACGCACATTCGTGCTTTTCTTGTCTTCATCGCTGATCACAGCCTTCACGAAAAAACAACAAAGTATACGTTTTTATTTTGTATTAGAGAGTCTTATGATAAGTGAATACATTTGACTCCACAAAACAAGTATCTCAATCCAATCATGCAAAGCATTTAAAAATCCAAAAGACAACACCTTTCCAAAAAAGGAAAGCTCTTTATGATAATCAGACACAAACCCATTATAAAAAAAAAATTGATAGCATCGGAGAAGCAAAGGATGTGTGTGTTTGCTAGACTTACGGGAACTGAGCCAAGCAAATGACTCGTCTGTAGATTAGCGAACGACTCATCCATCGAAGCTTAGTAAATCGAAAGAACGATTCTTTTATCTCATCCACTATAAATCGATAAGATCGGAATAAGAAGAAGAAAGATCGTACTTTTCTCTGAGTTTGCTTTCTCCGTCGTCGTCACGGAAAGCGAGAGAATGGTACACGCGCGGCTTTTTTAAAGAAAGTGAGGCACACGCACCGTTTTACACGTGACTTGGGCCCAAACTATCACAAGTTTCACACGGCCCATTATAGAATTTTAACCGACACACGCACCGTTTACACGTGACTTGAGCAGGCCCATTCAAACGGCCCATAACAAAAAAGAAAAATTTAACCCGGATAGATCCGACCTGTGAGAGGGAGCGTCGACTGAATACACACACTGTGTTTCCCCCAAAAGCTAAAACGGAGAAAGCCCTAGACTTGAGAGTGACTGACTCATCACTCGCGAGAGAAGATGGATACGAGGGGAATCAACGCCGCTAGATCCATATCTCTTCCGAAGCAGCCTGATTACAGTAGCAAACCTGTTCAGGTCATGATTTCTTGTTCGTTAATTTTTTTTTTTTTTTTTTTGAGAATCTTCTATAGCCATTGGATATGTCTACATGCATCTTTGGTTTAGCAAAAAAAAAATTAATTTTTATTTATTTCTTAATGGTAGCTATTTGTAACAATGTGGAAAACGTTGATTAATGACTTTGGTTTAATAGTGAAAATTAAGATGAATACTGTAGAGCTCATAATTGTTGTTTATTACAGGAGGCGTTGAGGCATTTGGCATCTATCAACCTCAGGGAGTTGTGTAACGAGGCCAAGGCTGAGCATTGTCGTGCAACAAGAAACTTGACGCTCTGTGGGAGATCTGTAAACTATGCGTTGAAGCCGTGTGGACATGCCTCCTTGTGCGAAGAGTGTAGTCAGAGGTGTGATGTTTGTCCAATATGTAGATGTTCATTGCCAAGGACTGGAGATAAACTCCGGCTTCGTCTTTATTACCAGTGTGTTGAAGCTGGTCTTATCTCCTCAGCATATGACGATGAACATCAGTTGGGAGCTGATGTTTGTTGTCTCTATTCTCTGTTCGATGTTGCTATGAACAACAATTTGATATCTGTGGTTTGCCATTGTATCCTTCTTCTGTGTTTATGCTTGCTGTCAGTGTCAGATATATGCATTGAGTGATAATCCATGCATCTCTTATAGATTTTTTTGTATGCATTGTATGGTCTCATTTACATCTGTTACAACGAATCTCCATTTTGTAAGGTTACTTAGAACTGTGTATATAAGGGGAGATTTGTACTGATAGGTTCTTGTAGTTTTAGGTAGTTCTTGTTCCATGCTCCTTCCATCCCTGATGGATAAAATGTTTTTTTTTATCATTCTCTATATGTTTGATGTATAATTGACATCTCCTTGACAGAGATGAATAGATATCACCAATGTATGTATGGATGAGACTGCTGTATCTAGTGACCCGGTTATTGCTTTTTTGCTGGATGAAGTTGTTGTCAAAGATTGGGTCAAGCGTACATTCCGGAGCATCTTAGCTGAGCTTCGAGAAATTTGTATCCTTTTAGCTGTTAGAATATTTATGTTTCCAAGGCCAGTATATATGTTTCGAAGGTGAACTCCTGTCTATCTTTAATATTGGCTCTCAGATAGTCTTGAAGCGAAAGAGATGCAAGCATGGTTAGATAGCCTCCTCAAGTATTCGAAGCAAGTGGCTGGTCTATGTAGGGTGCTTGAAGTTATGGAATCAGCATTTAAGGGTTCTATTACACCTCAGCTTCAAGACGTGCAGAAGCTTAGAGAGAACATTGGAAAAACAAAGCAGGTCAGCTTTAAATTTTGATTTATGAAAGACACGATAATGGTCAGTTACTCTTGTTTTTGGGTATATCTGACCTTGTCTCTATATAACATACTAAATGATATCCAGGGATAACCATCTGCCTCCTGACCAGAGTTTTGTAACAATATCAGCTCTGTACTTATTACTTATTGGTGCAATATGGTGTGCTTACCCTACTGTTGTTTTTTTTTTCAGCATCTGGACATTATGATCTGGTGCATAAGACACGGATTTCTGGAAGATGTGAGGTCTCGGTATTCTAATTTCACTTCGTGGAAGGCTCTGGTACGTGAAAGGAAATCAGAAGCAATTAAGCGTGCATGGCCTGATGCCGTAGATCAGTCTTCAGATTGCAATGTACAGGGTGCTTCCCTTTTTATCGAGGATGCTTTAGAAAATCTTGAGAGAGAGCCAGAATGCAGTCAAGACATAGGGGGAGACCTAGAAGTTGAATGTTTGCAGAATGATGAGAGATCAGTTCTTAGGTCCAAAATAGAGGGGATTTCAGGATCTTATCCATTTAAGAATCTTAGAACTGCTGCTGATATACTCTTTTTACATGGCAGTTCAGATCTGGTTGTTGCGAAGCTAGCAATTGTATCCTTTTTCTCATCGCCTATTTTGACATTACCTTGCATTTTACTTTTTAGATATTCACAATCAGTAGACTTTCCAATGTTTTTCTCTTCGCTGGTTTCCTTAACCAGGATACAGTTTCTTTATTACCTGTTTGATCGGCACTGGTCTACCCCTGAAAAATACTGGAAGCACATTATAGATGATTTTGCTGCTACCTTTGGCATATCCAGACATTCCTTGCTGGAGTCTTTTGTATTTTATCTTCTCGATGATCCCTCAGAGGAGGCACTCCAGGTACCTTTTGACATTCCCAGGGAAAACGTATAAAAATATGTATTATTGTGCATGTTTTTGATATTTACGCTAAAACATATACGGAAGTACAGCAAACAATTTATTAACGGGTGTAGCTAACAAACTTTTCCAAATTTTGTTTCAGGAAGCTTGTAGTACTCTTCCTGAAATATGTGATCCAGAAACATATTCCAAGGTTGCACAAGTCCTGTTAGAAAGGGAAAACCCTGAAACAGCTCTTATGGTGTTGCGTTGGTCTGGTCGTGATGGCGTATCAGAACTGGTTTCAATTGGTGAAGCTGTCACAGCTATTCGTGTGAGAGTGGAATGCGGTCTTCTGAGTGAAGCGTTTACATACCAAAGGTCGCTCTGCTTGAAAGTGAAGGAAAATAAATTGAAAAATGGAGCTTTGAAAGATGTGTCAGATGATGTAGACAGCTGGAATTGGACGGAATGGATGGAGATACTTGTCAACGAATTCTGCTGTCTATCTATTAGGAGAAACGTGGTTGATAGAATCATTGAGTTACCGTGGAATCCAGATGAAGAGAAGTATCTGCACAGATGCTTATTAGATTCTGCAACTGATGACCCCTCATCAGCTGTGGGTAGTCTTCTGGTTGTCTTCTATATTCAGGTAAGTAATTGTAATTGCATTCTTAAATCAACTTCACTTGAACAACATCTAGCCCCTAGAGTAGCTTTAAAAGACTCAGTAAGTGCTGTTGGGAGTAATGAACAAGTATGAAATTTTGAACGAGGCAAAGTAAAGCACTATAACCGCTGCTGGAAAACTTGTCCTCTATATGTTTAGCTATTTTGGTCCGTCTTTGACTGGAAACTACTCGTTTGCATTGCTCCAGCGCTACCGTTACATCCAGGCATACCAAGTCGATCTTAAACTCCAGAAAATTGAAGAGGCTTTCGTATCTGAAAATCAAATTGGGGAAGGTGTAATATCCAGAATGCGATCACAGAGTCTTTGGAGGAAAGAATTAGTTGTAAGTATTCCAGCCACCTTCTTGCGTTTTAGTGCTTAGTAACCTCTTGATGCTTGCAGGATTTTCTGACATCTTTGAATCTTAATAATAGTACTTGATATTTGGCTATTTGAACTTGAAATTTGAACCCTCCTGTGTTTTAATTTGCTTCGTAACAGGATAAAGCCATAGATATGCTTCCAGTGATTCAGCAGCAGCAAGTCAGATCTGGACAATTATCTGAAGTGGAAGATGCATCGGAAAGTGCTTCTGAAGCAGCAAGAAACTCTGATGCGCAACAGCCTGAGATGAATTCTTCTACAGTTCCCTTTCATACTACCGTATTTCTCCAAATGGCCAAGGACGCTGGCGCTAGAGAGCCAGTGGCTAATAATGGCAGCAGCACTCCTTTTCAACCAAGTCGTTTGATAGGAAACGCTTCCCATGGAAAGTTATTGACAAGCACAAATAGAGGACAAAAGAGTGAAGTTAGAAGCATAACCAAGACTCTGAAATTCGGTGAAGTGTCCACACCGTTCAAAGATCTTGATAGAGCTCGTGGGAACAGGCTCAAAGGAAAAAAGACTAAAGACATCTCTCCAGATATAAATGTTGATAGATTCATGGAGAATAACATGAGCTCACCTTATCTAGGCCGTGCCGCAGTTAATGATCCTGTAACAATGAATCCTAGGAGCAACTATCTCAATGGATCTGAACAGAAACCGGAATCAACTTTCTTTGGCACAAGGAGGCAACCAGGCAGAGAGCACCCGTCATCTAACTTTGTTGATTTGGATGATCCAATGGACATGTCTTCAAGGTACATTTTCTCTCTTTATAAATTTTTGTGTTATGTCCAGTTCTCCTAATCTTTATATTCATGAATGGTAGTTTCAAGGACAACAACAATGTCTTGGCCACTGAGAAGAGAAATAACAGTGGCGGATTGAGGTGGCGTTCAGATGAAGCAAGCGATGAGGAAGATGAACTGAAGTGGGACATGGAACCAACTAGTTTCGGTTCCATGCCGATTAAGGGAAGGAGGACGCGTATATTCGCTGTAAGATGAAATCAAACACACACTTCACATAATTTGTTGAGAATAGAGGAAGTGCAAGTGGTGTAAAGAGGGATGCTTTTTTTTTTTTGAAACACTAGAACCGAGATGCTTTTTTTTTTTTGAAACACTAGAACCGAGATGCTTTTTTTTTTTTGAAACACTAGAACCGAGATGCTTTTTTTTTTTTGAAACACTAGAACCGAGATGCTTATTATTATTTTTCTTGAAGTTTTTGAGAACTAATTATTATTTTTGGTCATTAATATTCAATAATTGTTTTAGTAAAACCTCCAAGCAACAAATCTCCTCACTCAAAATCCAAGGGGAGAAGAGACTGTGCAGAGATTCTATAGAAAGTTAAAAACAAACTTTGTGTGATCCATCAAATCCAAACCAAAGACCATACCAAGATAAAACAGAACGTCACATATTGGGAAAATCATTGATAAGGTCACAAAGGAAAAGTTCCAGTAAAGCGGATATGATCAAGTGTACGAGGTAGACCGTACTTACAAACCGCTGCATTTGCTGCTCTGAAACCTCCTCCGTAAGCAGGAGACGCGTCGTGAGCTATCTGATGCTTAAAGAACTCTCCAAGCTTCTTCTCCACATTTGATTTCCCTCCTTTCTTGTTAGATGATGATGATGATGACGACGACGACGTTGCAGCTGATGTTGAGGGCATGTTTCTAGAAGAAGTATCTGAAAGAACTTCAGATTCAAGCCACATGTATGAGAGGACTTGGCAGATACCTTCCTCTACCTCATGGTTAAGGTTTCTATACCCTAATGAAAGCAAGAAATAAAACAAATGAATATGCTTATTTTTTCTAAATATTTTTAAATTAGTGGGCAAGAATTTAAGAACTCAGTGATATACACAATTATTACAAAGACATGGAATATATATATTACATAAAGAAATTCACTCTTGCAAGAAAATAAAGTGAGGGAGGTGAATAGTACGTACCTTTGAGCCGAAGCCATCCATGCATCAGCTCGTGGGCAAGAATTGCTCCGGTTAATAATCTTCATACATACAATACAACAAAGTCTCTTTACGTTACCAATCATGCCCTATCTTTTCTCGGGTGGGATCGAAAACTGAGTGAGTTTGAGTAAAATAAGTACCTAGGGAGGCCGTAAAGAACGAGAATCGCAGTGACTTCACATTTGCGTATAAGCTTTTGAGGCTGAGTTCTCATACCAACAAGACGGTGAGCACCAAGTCTCGGTCTTTTAAGAACCTGTGAAGAACCAAAACATACAAAAACAGACCAAAATAATGTTTAGAATTTAAAACTGTGTTAGTTGTTACAAGAATTTTAAAAGACTTACACTTGTGACTGTTTGTTCTTCAGACAAACATAAACCTCTTGTCTCAGGCATGTGATGGTATCCCTATGGGAAGCACACAAACTTTTAGTTATAATTTGAGAAACACTCAACGTGAAAAATGTTGTGTATAAGTCTAAAGACCAAAAGATTACATACGTGTTTCTCTCCGACGATAGCATCGTTGAGAGCTTCTCGTTGAACAAGAAGCATGGGGATTTGTTGTTCAAGTTTCATGTACATTCCTTCGTAATAGTCTCGTATCGCATGGTAAAGTGGTTGACAATCTCCAGTGTCGGTTATCGCAGTTTCCATACATTCTAAACATAAACTTCTCCCATCTTCTAACGTGTAATATCTCACATTCCATGACTTCATGGTCACAACATAGATAAAAAAAAAACACATGGACTTATTAGTAAACCAAGAGGGAGTTTCAACTTCCTTATATTAATATTTGATTACCTCTAAACGTTCGCAGCTACAACAACGAGCGGTTCTATCGTATTCGTGAGACGGACAATACTTTTGGTTCCAAAATGGATGACACCGATACTCGATCAAGCCAGCATCATTAGTTGGGATCTAAGACGATTTATATGAAATTAAGTATAATATACACTGTGATGTGCAAGAATCTAAAAATGTGGTTGTAAAAATTGCTTACAAAATGGTGACAAACTTCGCATTTAGGATGAGTAAGCTCTTTAAAACAAATCTTATGATATGGTTTGGTTCCTGATAGAGAGAACTTTGAGTCAACCGACAAAACATATTAGTACTACCTTCAAACACAAACGTATATTTATATCGTATTCATAACATACCTCATGCTCAGTGATAGGGTAATGACATGAATCGCAACAGAAACAGTCAGGATGAAAGAATGTTCCCATGCATCCTAGATAGTTTCCCAATCCAATATCGCTATTGCAGCCGCCACATATTCTGATACAAAACAGAGCAAACACCATTTTTTATAGCAATTCTTTATCAACAATTTGAAGTTAAAATACTATAAAAACTGAGTTAAGTGTATTTTTGGGTACCTTTGCGGTCGTCTGAATTGATAGGAAGGTTCATAAGTTGGAAGGAAAGATGGATTCAATCCACCGTGTAAAGGCCTTGGATAATCTGAATTGCTATCCATAGACCAACCATATCCTGCTCAAGTAAAAAAAATTCAATCTCTAGTTTATAGAAATAACGTTTGTAATAAGTATTTTCTCTATTTTTGTATGTATTCATAAATGTAGACAAAAGATATACCATATGGGCGCTTGGTATCGTCACCTAGAGAGAGTGACATTGCACGATCGAGTTCTTCTTTGTCCCGAGCAGGTCTCGATCGATCGTCCTGATTATTAACACGACCATCCATGTAGATTAGCACTTTTTGTAAATTTGGAACGATGACGTTCAATTTTGTAATCTCTATTATATTATTTGAGAAGTCAATTTCTTAGGTGTCGCGCTCAAGTTAACTCTCACGTTGGTTGATTACTATGATACCTCTAATGAATTAAAATACAATTAAATATTATTTCCTTTTTAAAAATTTCCAAATAACAATATAAAATAAAAAGAAAACATTTATAAAATTTACAAAACTATTTAAAAACGAAAATATAAGTATATATAATATGGTTTAATAAAAAAAAGGAAAGTTCACAAAATAGTAATAATTAATTTAAATATATTTTAAATAACTTAAAATATACCTTTGAAGTAATAAAATACTTTATACCTATATCTTCCTAGCTAAAAAAAATATCTGTATATAATGAGATTTCATAAAAAAAGTTCACACAAAAATTATTGCTATTAGAAAAAGAAATATTTTAAAAAATAATTTTAAACAATAAAATATATATATTTTCAAAATAATTATTTTTGTATATATCTATCTATTTTATAAGATGATTACATAAAATAATCAACTAACATAAACTGATATATGTTTAACTTAATTTCTTTTATAATTAGTATTATTGAAATTATTTTTTTAGTATATTTATTTAACTATAATATCTTACAATTACAGTAAAAATATAAATTCTATTTTACTTATATAGTATAATTTCTCAAAAACAATCACTTTTTACTGACTATTCTAAGAGATACTAAAAATAAAACTAAAAATAAATTTAATGATAAACATCTTTTGATCAAGTAACTACAATTATTTTAAAATATCATAATACTATATAATTTAACGAGGTAGATATATTATATTTTAATAGTTAAAATTATTTGTTCTAAGAATAAGGATTCCGATTTACTTAAGTATTTTGATTATGGTTATATTAAGTTTCACAAACATAAAAACAGAAAATAACTACAATTATTTTAAAATACCATAACACTATATAATTTAACGAGGTAGATGTATTATATTTTAATAGTTAAAGTTATCTGTTTTCTTAATAAATATTTTTATTTTTAATTTTATGTTTTTATGTTTGTGAAACTTAATATAACCATAGTCAAATACTTAAGCAAATCAGAATCCTTATTTTTAAAATTATTTAAAATAAATTTCAGTTTACCATCCAAACAATCTAAAGCAAAAATTTATTTAGAATTTATAAAATATTTTAACTATTGTAAATATTGGTATGTGTTCAAAATCTTCTAAAAATTCATTAGTTACTTATGTATGTAATTTAGAATCAGAAACTTTAGTTTTTTATTTTTTTTTCCTTCTAAGCACAAAAAAATCTTAAGTTATATATAATCTTACTAAATATACTTATATTTCTAAGATAACAACCAGCATAAATGCAAATAAGACAATTAATCAAAAATTTAATATATTTAAAATATAAAAGATAATAGTTGAATTCAGAGAAATATATAGAATATAATATATCTAAATGATAACTAAATCGACCGTAAAAACAATAAAACAGACTAAATATAACATATCTAAAATTATATATATAATTAAAGTAATTAAATATTATAATATAAATTAGACATACAAACTATAAATTAATTTAAAAATTAAAGTAAATATCAATCAGTTATTATTGTATATTTATTTTATAAATATACATGTCCGTGCAGGAGCACGGGAAAATCACCTAGTTATAATAATATCAACAACACAAAAAGATATTGATAGCAGATGAGATTCCAAATCCTTGTAATCAAACCTTCATTACCAAGTTAATGATATTTACATCTTTAGCAAAAAAAGAAAGAAAGATATTGATGAAATAGTACATATATTTCAAAAGAATTATCAAAAAGAAATTTATTTCATCTTTTAATGATTCTAGTGGCTAAACATCATTAGTAGTGCTTATGGGAATCAGAATAGGCCACCTCATTATTTATTTCATGGATTAACAATCATATTCCAAACCCAATGAGCTAGGTAGCTCATATTAATTTGAAAAAAATAGAATACATATTATATAATTAAATTTTAATATATAGAGGATATATATCAAATTAACTAATAATTATAATATATAGAGGATATATACCAAATTAACTAATAATTTTAATATCCTTCCATTATAGTTTACAAAGCACTAAAATCAAATCTCAACTCAGCCGACTACTAAATCATTTTAATTGAAGCAACATATATATTTCAAAAAAAAAAAAAAAAACAACATATAAACGGATCCAGTGGCGGAGCCAGCCATACAACTTACGGGGGTTAACAGAATTAAATCATTGGTTTAAAAGAAATTTCAGCAACTGTTACTGGGATCATTGCACTAATTTTACAATCTTTCACTTGTGTTTTAATTAGAAAAACATGCAAAACTTGCATGTGACCTAATTTGTCATCTTTATAATAGTGCTCAAGTGCACATTGTCACATCATCTTAGTTTAAGCACGGAAATAAAAAATAAATGGACCAGTTGATTTCTAGTTTCGTGGATGTGAAATTTCACAGAATGTACAACTACAACGACCCGTGATATTTTAACATGAGAGAAAAAATGAGAAAGAGTAGTAACATTCACATGTCTTTTGCATATTGCTTTAATATTGGCGGTCACATGTCTATAGTATATATAAGTCTAAATTTATATAGAAAGAAAAATGAAAGAAAATATTAGATTTAACTAGAATAATCTAATGTATAATTAAGAAAATATTTACCGAAGAGGAAGGAGGTAGAGGAAAGACCATATTCTCGTCCTCTTGAAACTGAGGAGGAGGATGATTAGTGCGACCACCACCATTAGAGCCACTCTTGAAAAGCTTACTCACCCATTTCATCAAGTTCCATTTCTTCTCTGGTGAAGATGAAGATCCAGCTCCCCCTGTTATATTATCAAAAAACGTATAAGGTTAAATACTCTTCCAATATAAAGTCTAAAGATAGGATTAGAAACACTGCGCATGAGCCATTTTGTGACTTGGTAGGCTTGCCAAAAACTCAGTTCAAGCAGGCCGGATTTTGGAGGCTATAAAGATTTTAATATTTTTCTTTTACAAATTTGAGAACATCTTAAATTTTAATGCCCTAGACAAATGTTTCATATGACTCTATCTAAGGGTCGGCCATGCTATCAAAAATCTTGTTTACCCCTCGTATTAGAAATGTTGAAAAGAAAAGAAAACGCACCGAAGATACAAGGGTTGGAGATATGGCTGACATGAGAAACACCATATGAAGAAGAAGAATCCATATGAGGATGAAGAATGTTCCACACGTGTTTATATAATCTTGAAAACGTGTGAGTGAAGAGAAAATGACTGTCGGAGAGAGAGAAGCAAAGAAAATAAGAGATGGAGGAAGAAGAAGGAAGAGGGTAGGAGAAGAAGAAGTTATAAGTCACTAGCTGTTATTAAAAAAGATTTTACCAAAAAAAAAACATGTAAGAAAAGAGAACAAAGAAAGAGAGAATCTTTGCAGAAGAGATCGGGTGAAAAAATGTTAAAGAAATGGAAAAAAAGAAGAGATGCTTAGCTTCAGAAAGGAAAGGAACTGAGGGAAAGACATGTTTTTCGAGAGAATATCTATATCATGCTGAGGCGGAGAATCCTTCAAATAACGGTGTTGGGAGGAAGAGGATAGTTGAAACCTTTTGAAGCTTCTCTCTTTATCATTTTTTTAAAAAAGAACTTTCTTTTTGGGTTTTGATGGCGACGCTTGCCCCGTTCGACTTCTACTATATTCCAATTGAGTTTTGTTATTTTCTTGTTTTTCTTTAAAGAAATACTTTGATATTGTATGGTTAGTTTTTGAATTTTAACAATAAAACCCCAACTAAATTTATTTTGGATAAAACCCACTAAACTAAATATTTACCGTGAAAGATCCCAAATTGACTTTATTTAACAAATTATACTGCTATCTATAGATCAGTAAAAATGATGGTGTTATCGGTAACTTTTTAGTTTAAAAGGTTTTTACGAGAACCAAACTTAGTTGGAGAGGGGGTTGGCATTAAAAATCTACAAAAATTATTATGTAAAAATTTAATAACTCAACATTGCAAAATTAACACTTCAAACATATATATATATATATAGGGATATATACAGATATATATATATATATATATATATATATATATATTATACAAATAAATGAGTTAGATTTTCTTTAAAATCAACACTAGATACATGTATTACAATATTTTAAATTACATGCTTTCTGAGTCCAAACCAAACAAGCTCTCTTATGTATAAAGTTATGAAAGGGGATTAAACCCATGCTCTTAATAATCTAAGACAAAAGAATTTAAAATGAAATGTCATAGTGAAAGATAAGAAACACAAATGTAAAATTTATTGTCGATGCATAAGCCACCCAATATGCCACATAAGAAAAAGAAAAAAGATAGTGATTAACCTATAAGTTGATGCGTGTGTGGGCATGAATCCTCTATAAGGCATCATGCAACTAGGTCTCTTGTTTGTTAGATATAGAACTATATCTATTTAGTGCGGTAAGTCGGAGTTTATTGACATACGAGTTTAGTTTCCCATACTAATCTTCCTTTTTCAATATGTTCTTAGGAACTCATCTGTTTTGGATTTTGGAAGTAATATTATTTTCACTCGGTTTTTAACTATTTATACATACGACGTTGGATTTGGTTTAGATCCAAAACATACAATGTATACATATGCAGTGTGGATTTAAATGAAATTTAATTCATTTATTAATTTTGACGTGTTAATTTTGTAAATTTGAATCACTAAGTTTTACATTATTTTATTCTAATTTTTGGTTTTTAATGCAGAAATATTCTAACGAAGTTTGGTTAGGATAAAAAAACTCCTAAATTAAAAATTTACGGAAATGATTTATTTATTTTACTGACATTGTATATAGAAGATCTAATTCATTAAATAAAGTGAATTATAGGTTTTCATGTTAAATACTTAGTTTCTATCTCGGATTTGGATTTAAAGTTGCATATTTATTGGAGATGAGCTTCGCTCTCTTTTCATCATACAATTAATACGGCTTAGCATTGTATTCTTTAGAAAAAAATATAATTTAATCTCTTTCCAAGCAGTGATACAGAGTGTGTGGCGAGAGAGGAATAACAGGAAGCATAACAATGTCTATCTCATAGCTGTTGAGACTACGCATTTCATTCACAAAACGATCGGAAATCGAATCCCTTCTCTGTGTCCCAAGATCAAGTCATAGCCTATGATGGAGGGGCCTATATGGCTAGCTCATTATGTTTTCTTGGATTATCTGATCCTCTGCTAATCAGTGCTTTCTGAAACCACTGCAAACTCTTTCGTAGTGTAAATTTTATTTCTTTTATTGATAAATAAATTTAACATTTTAACATAAAAAAATTAAAGAACTTTTAAGAGAGGTTGGTTGACATATGCAACTAGGGTTGGGCATTGAGGGAACCAATCGGGTTTTGGCTCGAGTTCAGTTGGGTTTCATTTTTTTTGGGTTTATAAATTTTAGCCATATTCGAATATTATAAAAGTTTAGTCTAGAATCAGTTCGGATTTAGCTGGGTTCGGTTTAGATTTAATTAGTAATATCTTAAAAACCGGTTGAACCCAATAGAATCTCGGTTTTCAGATCTTAATCGGGTTTTTGGTTCCAAATATTGTTTTGTACTTAGTTAAATCCGAAAACCAGACAAAATCCAGTGAAACAAAGACCAAAAACCAAAATATTGAAATGAAATATGTTATTGTCGCGATTATTTTTTTGTTATATTGTAATTTTTGACACGTGAAATTAGAGAGTAAAAACAATGAAACTAGAGAAAAAACTCAAAAACTATGTGCAAACACATCATATCTGATAAACATGAATTTGAAACACATGGAACTTGATAAAGTCAATTATAGAGAAGAAGGAAGATCACAAAATACTAAAATATATTAGACTAAGTATTTGAGTTAATAATTCATGTATTATATACATATATATATTTATTTATTTTAGGTATTTAATAAAATTTTAGATTATTTTAGATACTTATTTGGGATTGAGTTTGGGTTTTGTATGAGTATTTTCTGGAATTTTGATTTTTGTGTGTTTGTTTGATATTCATTCGAGTTGGGACAAAAACTTTCCAACCCAAAAAACCATAAAACAAGTCTCAATTGGTATTTCTATGGTGTCCATTCGGCTCCCATTTATTTTAACGAGTCGGATTCAATTCAGATTTTGGAATTCAGTTTTTTTATCCTCTATGTTGCACCGGGACGGATACGGGGACAGAAACGGGAACGGAAGCGGGGACGAGAAACGGTAAAATCTAAAAATTATAGATACGGGGACGGCATATATATACTAGTTAAAAATATATAATATTTATAAAATAACAAAATTTTATAGTGAATCTAACATAATTATATATAATTTACTATAATATATCTATTTTGCCAACTAAAAATAAAAAAATCTATACTATTATTTGCGAAGTGATTTTTCGCGACGGAGCTCTCACGTTGAAAGTTAGAGCGGTTAATATCGTTTATACCCTTAATGAAAATAATATATAAATCAGCTAATAATAAAACAAATTTAATACTTATTTGATTAGATTTTAAATTAATAATAATGATAAGAATTATCCATAATCTAAATATATATTTAAAAAAAAAAGATAATTCTTATAGATATTGTGTTGTTATCCGGAAAATATATTTTTAATAAAAAATTCAAAAACAAAAAAAAACACAGAAATAAATATTCATAAAGTAAAATTTTTAATTTTACATAATTAAAAAGTATAATACATAATTAATTTTCAAATTAAAATAAAATAATAATATTATATAGATATATGTTCGTGAAGTTATTTTTCACCTCTCACACGTTAAATTAAATTTATGTTTATATTTTATATAGTTAAACCTTAAACATGAATTAGTCATATAAGATAAAAGATCATTCAAAAAAAAAACATGTTTGACAAAAATATATTCAAATATATTGTATTATTATCCAAACTAATTTTATTCTTTGTATAAGATCAATTTTGAATGTATATTTATCGATTATATTTTTCAAATTGAAAGATAGATTTCTATATTTTTTTATCAATTAAGAAGAAATTAAATAGAGTTTAGATTTTTCAAAATTTTAAAGGAAAACATAGATTTTTTTTAATGTGTGAATAACTTTATCAATGTAAAAAATTAATGTTATAGGTCGAATTATTTGGATGTAAATAATCATTTATTTTGATGATTTTTTAAATTGACTTAAATATAATTAAGTCTGCAGGTCCGCATTTAAGTGATTTTTCGCAATGGAGCTCCCACGTTAAAAGTTACACTGGTTAATATTGCTTATTACCTTAATGAATAAAAGATAAGTAATTAAAACTAATAATAATCATAAGAATTATCCAAAATCTAAATAATATGTATTTAAATAAGATAATTCTTATATATATTGTGTTGTTATCTACACATATATTTTAATAAAAAATAGAAAATACATAACTAAATATTAATCAAGTAAACTTCTTAATTTTATATAATTGAAAATATTATTTGATTTTAAGATTTATTTTTAATAGTGAACATAATATACAAAGAAATATATGTAAGAATGTTTATATGAAAATATGAATATTATGGGTTTAAAAAAAAGATAAATAATAATTTATCATTATAATCTTTCAATTAGTAAAATTATATTAGTAAAATAATTTTAAAATGTTTAGGCCGCAAGTGCGGGCAAAATACCTAGTAAACTATAAGAAAGAAGCTTAGTCTATTTCTAAAGAGAAAGAGGGCAAGGTCCCAGTGAAAACTAGTCTTATTCAACAACTAAGTTTGCTAACCGTCCCCAAGCCGTACCAGTGATGTCCCCATGAAGTACCCGTCCCCGAAACGTTTCGGGTACCGGTACGACACCTAAACAGACGTCCCCGTGCTTCATATAGATAATATCAAATAACACAAAAAAACAAGAATTTTTGTTTAGTCTTTAGCAAGATTATTTTAAAGCTATTTTCAAGGTTCAAGATTAGTTTTTTACGTTCCAACTTTGTTATACCGATTTCTATGTTTTGTAAACGTCGAGTTATCAATATTGAAGAGATTTTTTACACTCAACATAAAATTTTTCTATCTTTAGATAAGTTAAATTCAAATTCAACAATGTCCTTAAAAGACATTGCTACATTATGTGATACATTGTATCGCTGTTACTTTTCTGCTCTTTTTCCTTAACGAG